TGCAATTACGCTCCGCCCCTCGGTCTGACAACGAATGAAAAATTCATCACGATTGAAATCGAGACGGTTTTCTTTTTTAATTAATACATTTATTTTTTTTATATAACACGATTACTTAAAACATATTTCACATGGTAATTTCTCATAGAAAAATAAGGGTTTTATAATTAAACTCCGCCCCTCGGCTTACGACGAATAAAAAAAAGCATCAGAAATGAGATTCTTATATTTTGCCTTTTTTTTCTTAATATACATAGCCGTCTTTTCACGACAAAAAACTTAGAACATGGTTAAAATGGTTCATTTTTGCAAGGAAATATGGATTTTGCATTTATGGGGCGGAGCCTAATGGCAAAATCAATGTTTCCTTATACAAATTTTAAATTTTAAAATGTTTTACGTTTCATGTTGTGAAAAGAAGCCTACACATAATAAAACAAAAAGACAAAATGTAAGCCCGCCCACCCGCCCTGTCTCAATTGTGATGATTTTTTTTATTCGCCGTGAACCAAACGGGCGGAGCTTAACTGCAAAATACTTATTTCTTTACTAAAATTAAAACCATGTTTTTGAGTATCGCGTTGTTCAAAGAATACTGTGTATATTAAGAAAAAAAGGCAAAATATAAACCCCGCCCACCCACCCCTTCTCTCTTCTGATGATTTGTTTTATTCTTAGAAACCTAAAATATGTTTAAAATGGTCAATTCTTCTAGACAAATATGAATCTTGCAATTAAGCCCCGCCTCTCGACCTCACAACGAATGAAAAATTCAGCAAAATTGAGAATTGAGGTCGGGGCGGGTAATCTTTGGCTTTAATTTTTTCTTAATATACATAGTATTCTTTGAAGAATACGATACTCAAAAACGGGTAACGGTGAATAAAAAAAATGATCACAATTGAGATAGGGTGGGTGAGTGGGGCTAAATTTTGCCTTTTTTTCTTAATCTGTGTAATAGTAATCAGTTCTCTTATTATCAAAAAAAGATCCAGCTGATAAAGATTCTTTTTTTATTCTTTATTAATACTAGAAAAAGACCGCAGCCCCCGTCAATATTCTTTTGCGTTAAAAAAAAAACACTACTCGACTCTCCAGAGAATCTTTCTTATTCACAGAAGAAAAGAAGAAACCAAGGATCGCCAAAATTCTTTAATACTCTTTAAAAAAAATTCATTGGGGTCCGATAATCTTTCTTATTTATAAAAAAAAGCCACTTAGGGGTTTCCAAGGATCTGTCTTATTCGTAAAAATGACATTGGAGATTCCCAGAGTATCTTTTTTATTCCTAAAAAAAGATACTAGGGGCCTTCAAGATCCTTTTTTTTATGTTCAAAAAAAGACACCAGGCGTTTCTACGAATGTTCTTTATTCTTTATAAAAATACTAGGACCTTCCAAAACTCTTTCTTATTCTTAAAAAAAAAAAAAATCCAACGAATGTTTCGTATTCTTTGAAAAAAATACACTAGGGCTCCTCAAGAATCTTTCTTACTCTTTATAAAATGACATTAGCGCCTCCCAGTGATAGTTCTATTTCTTAAAAAAAAGATATCAGAGGTTCCCAAAAATCTTTAAAAAGATCCAGAGACCTCAAGATTTGTTTTTTCAAAAAAAAGAAAAATGACAGCAGGGGTATCCAAGATTCGTTCTTATTCTAAAAACAAGACACTTGAGGTCCCCAAGAATCCTTCATATTTTTTAAAACAAAGATACCAAGGGCCTTCAAGATCCCTTTTTATTCGTATAAAAAGACATCAGGACTCTTTATGAATCTTTCTTATCCAAAAAAAAACACTAGGGCCTTTTAAAAATCCACACACACTAAGTTCTCCTGAGAAATTTTCCTCATAAAAGAAGATGCCAGGGACTCTCAAGATTCATTTTTTTTTTCTGAAAAAAAGACATCAAGGGCCTCCAAAAATATTTCTTATTTTAAAAAGACTCTCGGGCCTCCCAAGAGTCTTCTTTATCCTTAAAAAGGGTCCCCAGAGAATATTTCTTATTAATAAAAAAAAATCCTGGGCCTTTCAAGATTATTTTTTATTCTTAAAAAAAATATGCTAGAGTTTCCCAGGAATATTTCTTATTGGTGCCTAAGAATCTTTTCTACTCTTCAAAAAAGAGCCCAGCCCCCCTCAGGATTCTTTCACGTTAAAAAAAGACACTAGAGTCCCCAGAGAATCTTTCGTATTTAAAAAAAAAAACACAAGGGCCTTTTAAAAATCTACACACACTAAGTTCTCCTGAGAAATTTTCCTCATAAAAGAAGATGCCAAGGACTCTCAAGATTCATTTTTTTTTTTCTGAAAAAAAGACCTCAAGGGTCTCCAAAGATATTTCTTATTTATAAAAAGACTCTAGGGCCTCCCAAGAATCTTCTTTATCATTAAAAAATACACAAGGGTCCCCAGAGAATATTTCTTATTCATAACAAAAAATCCTGCACCTTTCAAGATTATTTTTTATTCTTAAAAAAAATATGCTAGATTTTCCCAGGAATATTCCTTATTGGTGCCTAAGAATCTTTTCTACTCTTCAAAAAAGAGCCCAGCCCCCCTCAGGATTCTTTCACGTTAAAAAAAGACACTAGAGTCCCCAGAGATTCTTTCGTATTCTTAAAAAAAAAGCACTAGAGCCTTTTAAAAATCTACACACACTAAGTTCTCCTGAGAAATTTTCCTCATAAAAGAAGATGCCAGGGATTCTCAAGATTCATTTTTTTTTTTCTGAAAAAAAGACATCAAGGGTTTCCAAAGATATTTCTTATTTATAAAAAGACTCTAGGGCCTCCCAAGAATCTTCTTTATCATTAAAAAATACACAAGGGTCCCCAGAGAATATTTCTTATTCACAACAAAAAATCCTGAACCTTTCAAGATTATTTTTATTCTTAAAAAAAATATGCTAGAGTTTCCTAGGAATATTTCTTATTGGTGCCTAAGAATCTTTTCTACTCTTCAAAAAAGAGCCCAGCCCCCCTCAGGATTTTGTCACGTTAAAAAAAGACACTAGAGTCCCCAGAGAATCTTTCGTATTCTTAAAAAAAAAAACACTAGGGCCTTTTAAAAATTTACACACACTAAGTAAGTTCTCCTGAGAAATTTTCCTCATAAAAGAAGATGCCAGGGACTTTCAAGATTAATTTTTTTTTTCTGAAAAAAAGACATCAAGGGTCTCCAAAGATATTTCTTATTTATAAAAAGACTCTAGGGCCTCCCAAGAATCTTCTTTATCATTAAAAAATACACAAGGGTCCCCAGAGAATATTTCTTATTCACAACAAAAAATCCTGAACCTTTCAAGATTATTTTTATTCTTAAAAAAAATATGCTAGAGTTTCCCAGGAATATTTCTTATTGGTGCCTAAGAATCTTTTCTACTCTTCAAAAAAGAGCCCAGCCCCCCTCAGGATTTTGTCACGTTAAAAAAAGACACTAGAGTCCCCAGAGAATCTTTCGTATTCTTAAAAAAAAAACACTAGGGCCTTTTAAAAATCTACACACACTAAGTTCTCCTGAGAAATTTTCCTCATAAAAGAAGATGCCAGGGACTCTCAAGATTTATTTTTTTTCTGAAAAAAAGACATCAAAGGTCTCCAAAGATATTTCTAGGGCCTCCCAAGAATCTTCTTTACCACAAGGGTCCCCAGAGAATATTTCTTATTCATAAAAAAAATCCTGGCCCTTTCAAGATTATTTTTTATTATTAAAAAAAAAAAAAAATATGCTAGAGGTTCCCAGGAATATTTCTTATTGGTGCCTAAGAATCTTTCCTACTCTTCAAAAAAGAGCCCAGCCACCCTCAGAATTTTTTCACGTTAAAAAAAGACACTAGAATTCCCAGAGAATCTTCCTTATTCTTAAAAAAACATACCAGAGGTCCAAGAGAATTTTTCTTATTCCTAAAAAAATATACTAGAATCCCGAAAATCCTTCTTATTCACAAATCTTTTTTTTTTACTTCAAACAAAATATGCCAGGAGTCTCTATGAATCTTTCTTAATCTGTATAAAAAGACTTTACAAAGAAGATACCGGGGATCCCCAGGAATCTTTCTTATCCTTAACAAAGAACATCATTGGCTCTCAGGATTCATTCAAATTAAAAAAATGGCACAGGAGTCTTCCTTATTTATAAAAAACAGATACCAGGATTCTCCAAAATTCTTTTACATGTTTTAAAAAAAGCACCAGAGATCAGATTTTTTTATTAAAAAAAAAATATAAAGCTCGAGACTTTCACATTGTTTCAAAAAATTGGTCTGAAATTATTTGGACAAACCGAACTTCCCTTGCTTCTGAAGTGTGACAAGTACAGAAACATGCTGTTCCCAGAATTTTAGGAAACTGAGATAAGCCGCTTTTGACATGCTATATCCATTTTAGATAGAATTTATCGGTCGGAATTTGATTACCCAACATAAATTTTCAAATTTTCTTGTACAATAAATTTTTTTCCAAAGATCTTAGTATTTGTGGTAAAAAGTAAGGGTGGGTTAAGGAATCACATATACAATAAATTTTGAAAACAACGTAATCAAATTGTTGGTGGGGATGAACAAACAAATTTTGGTTCAGACAGACGGAAACGAAATCTAAATTTTTGGATGTTAGAACTCGAAAAACTGAAATAAAGTTTTTTTTTCAAAGAGGTTCAAGATCAATAGAACCATGAAGAAGTTGAACCAATGCCCAGCATGTGGTGGCACGTCCATATTTAGCTAAACGAAGTTATCGAGAATTGCCGCTTCGTAATCATATGCAGACTCAATTAAACGCAGAAATAAATTTATGTATTTTGACTTCATGATTAGAATAAAGTAGCAAAAATCGCTCCTGTGCTAAAACAGGTTCATTAATGAAATCTAGTAGCTAGTTCTTTACCTTTCTTGACCAATAGTATTTAGATCAAGGACTCTTGTCATTCCTATTTTGAACAAGCGTTCACACGATAAAAAAAAAGTAATAAAAACCCATATTAATAATTCCGTTTTTTTCAGCCGCCTGAGAGAATGTGAGCTTCAAAGCCATGCCGTTCCGAAAAACCGCCCGGCCGCACACTTCCTAAAAATGCCCAGGTGAGCGCCCCCATTAGCACCATCTAATCAAAGCTTTCGACAACTGACGCAAAACTTTATTGAAAATAATGATCGGCCAGGCCAGCAGTTCAACAAAATTTTATTGAGGACATTTCAATAAAAACCGGCGATGACCACAATAGATCAATCACAAAAAGTTCAAAGACTCGTTCAAAGTCAGACCACTAAACGCTCCGAGATTTCTTAATGCCGCGGGATTTTGGTAGTCATAACAAATATTACCGACTTGCTACTTGTTCAAACATAATAAACATTGTTGTACCGTCACGAATATGGCCCAAGTTGAGGAGATCACGATGGGTGGTCACTGGCCGAGCGACGTCGTTTTAAGGAATACGATCTGCTATTAAGTTTTATTTCTTTCGTTTTTTTGACTTTGAGTCCGGTTGAATGTCGCCCGGATTATTCATAAATCAGGTGGCGGAGCGGCGGTTCCGATTTGTAATAAATGGGGTCATTATGGGCCGTGATAAGGTGGACGAAATTACAGCCCCGGAGAAGTGGCTCGGGGTACCGTTATGTTTAAATTTGTGGTTAGTGGCTGGGAGGAGCGGGGTCGATTGAAAAATTGCTGCGACAAGGTTTATTTTTGAGAGGGACTTTATTATGTCGTAATTATTTTAACTAAACGATTTGGAATAAATCTTGTGAGGACGAGAGGATAAAAAAGGTTAAATGAATATTCCTGATCGTGATAAAATTCTAAGCAGTAAGTGTATATAATCTGGACATATATCTCGGTGTTCACATCTAGTAAGATAAAACTCTCTGTGGCATTTGATAATCGAATTTCCGGACATTTAATTCTTACCTGAAAGCTAAGACATGTTAACAAACTAGACGTCGTAAAGATGCCCTTTCGAAAGCTGCATTCTAATAATATGGTTTATTCGGAAATTACCGATTTGTCAAAAGTTGTCACATGGAATCCGATAAAGCTGAATTTTATCTTAAACTGGCAGCTTTAACTGTTCTAACGGGTTTAATACGACTTTGTTACCGATGTGAAGTTGTGGTTAAAAAATAACCACCTGCTGGAGGTACCAATCACACAATAATTTTCGTTCAATGCGAATTTTTCCAAAAAAAAAAAAAACACTTTCTAAGTCATTATTTTTTAAAAATTGTACATCAGAGAAAATTTTGTTTTATAAAAACTGAATACTTCAGAAATTAAAAAAATCGATTCTTTTTTCGTAAAAAAATAAACGGTGGACCTTTGAATTAAAAATTCCCCTCGGCTGCACTTGGTTATACTAAACGGTCTTATGATGGCCATTCGTAATGATAATAATTGTCTCAAAGGTCAGATTTTCGTGCAGTTTTTAATGAAAATTTGTGACAATCCTGAAGTTTCTGAATATTTTTACTGAATATTTACGTCGTTACGGATTTGAAGGGACACGAAAATTAATAAACAAAAAACTTTCAATAAAAAATTTCCCTCTGCTGCACTTAATCAGGATTAAGTGGTGACGTTTCCTGAAGATAAGTCCTAGTAATGTCTCAGATATTGGAGCGTTTTAAATGAAAATTGGTGATAATCCTGAAATTTTCGAGTATTTTAACTAAATAAGATAAGGATTTAAAGTGAATTGGAAGACAGTGATTTTTTATATTAAAGAGATAGTAATATTCTATTCTTGTGATATTTATCTCAAAATTCAGGTTTTTGAACAGTTTCTAATGAAAATTTGTGATGATTCTGAAATTTTTGCGAGTGTTGACTAAATATTTAGATCGTGAAGGACTGAATTAAAACGAACATTAAAAAAATATATATACAATTTTAAACAAAAGAGTCCCCTCTACTGTATTTAATCAAAATAAATGATAATGTCTTCGGAGGATAAGTCTTAATGGGATCTCAACATTCATATATCGGAGCAGTTTTAAATAAAAATTGGTGATAATCCTAAAATTTTGGAGTATTTTGACTAAATACGTTCATAGATAAGGATTTGAAGGAAATTGGAAGACAGGAATTTTTTTTTATTAAAATAATAATTATACTCTGGATCTTTGAACTAAAAATTCCCCTCTGTTGCACTTCATAAGACTTAACGGTGACGTCGTCTAATGACCATTCTTAATGAGAATTATTAATTATGTCGAAGTTTAAATTTTTCGGGAGTTTGTAACGAAAATTTGTGAACATTCTTAAAGTTTTGAACATTTTGACTAAATATTTACGTCGTTAAGGATTTGAAGTGAGACCAGAATTAATAAAAAATATGAAGAACTTTCAATGAAAAATTTCTTCTGCTGCACTTAATCAGATTAAATGGTGACGTTTTCTGAAGATAAGTCCTAATAATGTTTCAGGTATTGGAGCGTTTTAAATGCAAATTGGTGATAATCCTGAAATTTTCGAGTATTTTAACTAAATACATTACATAGATTAGGATTTAAAGTGAACTGGAAGCTAATGATTTCTTTATATGGAAAAAATAGTAATAATCGGTGGACTGTTGAGTTAAAAATTCCCCTCTGTTGCACTCATTCAGACTAAATGGTGAATCTTCTGATGACAATTCTTGTGATAATTATCTCAAAATTCAGGTTTTTGTACAGTTTCTAATGAAAATTTGTGATGATTCTGAAATTTTTGTGTGTGTTGGCTAAATATTTAAATCGTGTAAGACTGAATTGAAACGAAAATTTAAAAAAATATATACAATTTTAAACAAAAGAGTCACCTCTACTGCATTTAATCAAAACAAATAGTGATGTGTTCGGAGGATAAGACTTAATGGCATCTCAACATTTATGTATTGGAGCAGATTTGAATAAAAATTGGTGATAATCCTGAAATTTTGAAGTATTTTGATTAAATACGTTCATAGATAAGGATTTGAAGGGAATTGGAAGCCAGGGATTTTTTTCTATTAAAATAATAATTATACTCTGTGGATCTTTGAACTAAAAATTCCCCTCTGTTGCACTTATTCAGACTAAATGGTGAATCTTCTGATGACAATTCTTGTGATAATTATCTCAAAATTCAGGTTTTTAAACAGTTTCTAATGAAAATTTGTGATGATTCTGAAATTTTTGCTTGTGTTGACTAAATATTTAGATCGTGAAAGACTGAATTGAAACGAAAATTTAAAAAATATATATGGAATTTTAAACAAAAGAGTCCCCTCTACTGCATTTAATCCAAATAAATGGTGATGTCTTCGGAGAATGTCTTAATGGCATCTCAACATTTATGTATTCGAACAGATTTGAATAAAAATTGGTGATAATCCTGAAATTTTGGAGTATTCTGAGTAAATACGTTCATAGATAAGGATTTGAAGGGAATTGAAAGACAGGGATTTTTTTCTATTAAAATAATAATTATACTCTGTGGATCTTTGAACTAAAAATTCCCCTCTGCTGCACTTCATAAGACTTAACGGTGACGTCGTCTAATGACCATTCTTAATGATAATTATTAATTATGTCGAAGTTCAAATTTTTCGGCAGTTTGTAATGAAAATTTGTGAACATTCTTAAATTTTTGAGCATTTTGACTAAATATTTACGTCGTTAAGGATTTGAAGTGAGACGAGAATTATTAAAAAATATGAAGAACTTTCAATGAAAAATTTCTTCTGCTGTACTTAATCAGATTAAATGGTGACGTTTTCTGAAGATAAGTCCTAATAATGTCCCAGGTATTGAGCGTTTTAAATGAAAATTGAAGATAATTCTGAAATCTTCGATTATTTTAACTAAATACATTACATAGATAAGGATTTAAAGTGAACTGGAAGCCAATGATTTCTTTATAATGAAAAAATAGTCATAATCGGTGGACCTTTGAGCTAAAAATTCCCCTCTGCTGCAACTATTTAGACTAAATGGGGCAACTTTTGATAACAATTCTTAGTGATAATTATTTCAAAGTTCAGGTCTTTGAGGAGTTTCTAATGAAAATTTGTAATGATCCTGAAATTTACGCTTATTTTGAGTAAATATTTAGATCGTTAAGGACTGAATTGAGACGAAAATAAAAACTATACATATATGGAATTTTAAACAAAAAAGTTCCATCTTCTGCACTTAATCAGAATAAATGGTGATGTCTTCGGAGAATAAATTTTAATGGCGTCTCAACGTTCATGTATTGGAGCACTTTTGAATGAAAATTGATGATAATCCTGAAATTTTGGAATATTTGGAATAAATACGATTCATAGATAAGGATTTCAAGGGAATTGGAAAACAGGGATTTTTTATTTATTATTAAAAAAATAATTATACTCGACGGATCTGTGAATTAAAAATTCCCCTCTGCTGCACCTAATAAGACTTAATGGTGCTGTCGTCTGATAAGAATTCTTAATGATAATTGTCTCAAAATGCAAATTTTTGGGTAGTTTTTAACGAAAATTTGTGATAATCCTTAAATTTTTGAGCATTTTGACGAAATATTTACATCGTTAGAGACTTGAAGTGAGACGAAAATTTTAAAAAGCATATATGTGGAACTTTAAACAAAAAAAATTCACTCTGCTGCACTGAATCAGCTTAAATGGTAACGTTCTCTGAGTATAGGTCTTAAAGGCATCTCAACGTTCATGTACTGGAACAATTTTTAATGAAAATTAGTGAATAATTTTGAAATTTTGAGGTATTTTGATTAAGTACATGTCATAGATAACGATTTTAAGTGAATAGAAAGACAGTTATTTCTTTATAATGAAAAAATAGTCATAATCGGTGGACTTTTGAGCTAAAAATTCCCCTCTGCTGCAGCTATTTAGACTAAATGGGGCATCTTCTGATGACAATTCTTAGTGATAATTATTTCAAAGTTCAGGTCTTTGAGGAGTTTCTAATGAAAATTTGTGATGATCCTGAAATTTTCGCTTAGTTTGAGTAAATATTTAGATCGTTAAGCGCTGAATTCAGACGAAAATAAAAAAATATACATATATTGAATTTTAAACAAAAAAGTTCCGCCTTCTGCACTTAATCAGGTGATG